GGATTTTAAATATGTTTCTGTTCTGCGTTGGAACAACCCCAAGACCTGTTAGAAAGCTTCATGAAAAAGCATCTGACATGGGTAAAAAAGGCGGGTGGGGGGTCAGTGCCCCGCACCCTCCGGCATCGCCCCGGCTGCCCGCTCGGCAGTCCCAGGTTAACGGGGGCTCCTTCTCCGCCGGCTGCGTTCCCGGGTGTCAGAGCAGGAGATTTGTGGCATCACAGTCACATATTGGATTTCACTTGAGACAGTATGTGAACGAGATTTACAAGCAATATGCAATGTTTTACACATTTCTAAGCGCGGTGTCTCCAAGCCGCGACAGATTGCATGACCAAGGAATGCATTAGAAGGGAGGAATGGGATAAATAAATATGAAAAATCTTCTGTTTGGAGAGACCGATGTCTTGGGTAATCAGTAGTGATGGAAAGGAAACACAATACAAAAAAAAGTACATATCCATTTTCTAGGATCTGCTTTGTTATTTTTTGAAATTGACTCTGTGCAGTAGCAACTTTTTTTATTTTTTAGATTACTGAGCTGTTATCAATTTAAAATGCAGGGTGGCATATTTTTTTAATCTTGAAAAGTTAAAACAGATTCTGAGGTCACTTAATCAGTCCTTTATTTGAAGGGTAACTGCAAGACATAAAAGAAGCTCATGAAGGGCAGAGAACTTCTTATTCAAAAAAGGGAGAGAAAACATGAGACAAACTGCTGGAAAAGTCAATTTATCATCTGCCACTAGTCACCCTTATCAATTATGAGAAATTATAAGCATAGCTTGCTGAATTATTTTTTTTTACCAGAACGTGTAATGTTATTTTATAATGAACTTCATAAAATAGAGGTGATGAACACCCTTTCCTTATCTGGCCACTTTGATGCAAGGCTCATCAGTTTGTGGAGTTAGAATGGTTTCTGCCTCTTATTTTCATCGCTTCTGTTTCTTCCTCTTCACGAGAAAATTCACCTTCAGTGGTAAATGAGGAAAGCCATGTCTCAGAAGTTACTTTTTTTCCTTCCTCCTGGCTGCCAGTCCTTTTTCATGGGATGATACAGAAAAATGTCTTTTCAGTTCACCATTGGGCGTTACTGGGGTAGGAGCGGAGCAGTCCCAGCTCCCAGGGGGGTGCAGCACTTGCTGAGACTCCTGGACTGCCCTGAGATACTCTGCTTTTAAAGGTGGGATAGTTTTAGGGAGAGAAGCATTACATTACATTGCTTTTATAGATGTTTATGGTTCCCTCTGACTGCTTTCAAGCTCGTGGTGATTTGGAAACCTGGCTTTGCAAGCAAGATCCATTTGAAAAAAAGTCAAAAGCACCTAAAATGTTTCCTCTGCCTTTTCCCAGTGTGAATTCTTCCCGTTCCCTCTGCCCACCCCGTCCTCTGCCCTGCCAGTTCTCCCAGCAAGCTTACGTGTGTGTGTGTTTGGGTGGAGGGATGGAGCTCAGAACCTGAGTCTCTAAAAATGTTTTGTGCTAAACAGTTTCTGAGAACTTCTGTTCAAATTGCTCCCGCTTTCCTGATGCACGTTTTTGAGAGGCAAGAAGTCCTTATGGACCTGCAGTTCCTTCTCAGCTTGATAAAATTGTGTGCAGCGCTATGGTGTTACACCCTGTCGAGGACCGCTTCCCAGCAAACCAAAACAGCAGCTAAGCACGTGTTAGTGTTAATTTACACCCCGGTTACTACAGTGGCAGCGGCAAGAGAAGCACCCGAGCAGCTCGTGGGAGCTGCCAAAGGCAGTGCAGCATGGAGGGCTGTGGGAAATAGCCCAAATATACCAGGGCTGCCCACTGCCAGCCTGGGACGGCTTCCCGCTGCGCTGCAGGACTCCTGGCTGGGATGAGTGCAAGACGTTGTTAGAGGCTATTAAGGAATCGAAGACTTATTGTTTCCTAACGCTCTAGGGCTTGGAATTTTATGGCACTTTCAAATATACCCTTATAAAATACACACAGAAAGTGCTTGTGTGTAAGAATGCATGCATATATGTAAAATGTAACTGTGCAATCCTAATATACTAATTATATCCACAGGGAGACACAAGGAGAAACCGTGAGCTGCAGTAAACACACAGAAAGAGTAATTAATTTGTTAGAGAATTCAGTATTCTTTTTGTAGCAGCAAAAGGTTCAGTGTTGAACCTAAATTTCGTAATCACTTTTTCCTTCCCACGTCTAATACTGGTCATTCCTAATAACATTGTAGTCTTATGTGAATTTACTGTGTGTGTGCAAGTTCTAATACAGGACAGATAATTTCCTTCTATGCCTGACATAAATGATACGGTGTTAACCTAAATCATCTTTGATAACCTTCTTTAAGTGCTCGAAGTCAGAAAATAGTTTTTAAAGTCATAAACCATGCTTTTACCAATATAAGCTTCTCTTTACAAGAAAAATGCATTTGGAGAGGAAGAGAATAATACTATAATCTTGCATCAGTTTGTTTTTGCAAGGGTCTTTACTTATATTAATACATTTGTATGCATTGGAAAAAACAGATCATCCGTAAAAAGACAATTACAGAGCACAAACCGAGCATTTATAATATTTTTCTGAGATTTCTTAAAGGAAGCAACATACTTAAAACAGAGAAGATTTTATTGTCCTGTTTTTCTACAACTCCTTATAAATCATTCCATAAAAGTAGCCATCCTGCTTTTATTGATCAAAACTCAATTTGAGTTGCTTTGGGATTAACTTTAAAAACTGTTGTTAAGTCCCCTCCACTGCAAGCATGTCATGCAAATATCATTTGAACAGGGTTGATATCTTTTCTGTTTGCAGTTACTCGTGTGTCTTTGCTTTCTGGCAGGAAAGATCTAGCTGACCAGAAAACAGGCAAATGCTTGAAATGGGAATTTTTGAGTAGATATTTGTAATAATGTATTGGGTGGCTTAACCAGCTTATCTCCTAGTGTAGATGCCAAATCTGCCTGACGCCCAAGGTGGCAGTAATAGCTGAGATGCTTTTGATTCTAGATAATGAATTTCAGGATCATCTGTGGATTTACTGTTATTCTTTATATGTTCGTACATTTGCCTTAAGGCAGCATATAGCAGAGCCAGGGTGGTTATATCTGTGCTCTCTCAGGTCAAGGTCTGTGCTTTGGGAAGGGTTGTTGTCCTGCCTGTAAACTCTGTATTTCTCAGTGCTCGCTCTCAATCTGCCTTGTAACATGTCTGAAAACCAGGCAAGGTCCCAAACTTCCCTTCCTCCCTGCCAGTGCTGGCCTGCCACTGAGAGGAGAGGCATGAAGACGTTTCTCTGATGCCAGACAGAAGTTACTGGAGAAGATTCAAGAGCCAGCAGAAGTAGTGCCAGATCAATCCCGTACTGCAAGAGATGGGCTACTTTGTGCTTTTCTTTAAGGGTGCCAGCTGGCATTGCAAGTCTGCCTCAGCATCGCAGCTTCCTTCAAAAAATGTTCGAAGTGTCATGGCTGGAGAGGAAAGCTTGAAACTGTAAAGCAGATGCACCCTGAAGAGGCAGGAAAAGTGAGATATAAGGAGCCCCAAATGGTTTTGGTTTAGAAAGCAGCCCATCCAATGATCAAACAACTCTTGCTCATAATTTCTGAGCACCTGGCAGGGGGTTTGGCAGTAACAGCTCGGATGAGGATGTTTCCGTGTAGCGTTGGACCTGTCGTGGGCGCAGCGGGGAAAGGAGCGGCGTCAGCACCTCCGTGCGTCGATTCCCTTTCTCCCTCACCAAGAAACTGGGACCCGAGTTCTTGACTCCCAACCAGCAGAGCAAAGTTGCATTCCTATTTTACGCCTGCCACCCCAGTAGGTCCGATCAAGTCGTGCTGGAAGACCCCGGCTGGGAGGTTTTCCCCCTCCTCAGCGCACCACGGTGCTGCGCTTCCATTTCACTCGGGGTGGCCGTGCTGGGCAAGGGTGGGAGCGGGCAGGACTTGGTGTAGGGGCTTTCCCCGTACACCCCTTGGCTGCAGGCTGGGCTTTCCACCCACACAGTGGAAATTTGGAAAAAAAAGTCCTAGGGTTTTCACGAGCAAAACCACTCTTCAGCACTCACCCTGTTGTACTGCGTTTGTGCCACCCCGATTCTAAGTTGAATTTACCGTACTTTTGCAGTGGAATTCTGCAAAGAGTTTAGTTTCGCATGTTTCACACGTGGAGCTAATTAAAGAAAAATTGTTCTTTAAGCTCATGAACTGTTTTTTAAATGTATCCTTCTGGGTTTGCCTAGAAGTACAAACATTCTGGAGCTGCAGAAGTCTGAACATTAATGGAGTAACAAGAGAAGCTGCTTCGTATACCCATCAGTGCTGTGGTTCTGTTAGCTATAATTTGAAATAAATTCCTAAGCAGGGCACTTGTACAGCATATTCAAGTGCCAAAACCTCTCTGCTAACTCATATTCTCCCCATCTATAATCAAAAATTGAAGTAATGCAAGAGCAGATCTAGGAAGATGAAAGGGATAAAGAAAGATACTTGTCAAGCAGTTACAGATCAAAACAAGTTTGAGAAAATGCTTTTTGTCTTCTTCCTCGTCTCCTGCCTAGGATATTGTCTGAGATAAGTGACAAACAGTTTCAGTTCTTTCTCATCAAGTCTCAAGGTTACAGTGCATTTTCTGAGAACCAGCTTAGATAAAGGAAACCTTAACCCACCCAGAAGTTAGCATTTTATGCATCTGAGGTTAACGGGTAGATATTAAGTTCCCCTGTAAATTAAACAGCTGAAGATTGCCATCTTTTTTATGTGGAAAGAGCACCTTGTTAGCAACCAGCATAAAAGTTCATGTTCTCAGATGAGTTACCTTGCCTTACTCTTAAATTGCCGCTCATTTTCTCTCTGCGTGTTGATTTATGAACTTTAAAACTTAGTGTTCAAAATTCAAGCTGTGTTGCCAAGATGCGGTGCTATCAAAACCACTGAACAGGTAGTCTCCCTTCATGTGGTGTTTAAAATATTTTTACTAAATAATAAGGCACCTTTCCTGTCTTTTGTTACATACAGGATTTTGGAGAAGATGATTCCCTCTACATCACCAAGGTAACAACTATTCACATGGGCAATTACACCTGTCATGCCTACGGCTACGAAGAGCTGTATCAGACCCACATCCTTCAGGTGAATGGTTAGTAAATGGCATATATGACAATCCATGAAAACGTTCCCGTAAGCAAAGTTGCGTGTTAATCTCATTTGCACAGAGACGTGAAAGGCCACGCACCAAATTGTCTGTGTACAAAAGTGAATGCAGTTCGGGGTTTGCTCACTCCTGCTATCACGCAGGCAATCAAAAAGATAGGTACCAAGGGGGGACGTATATAATTACCTGGGCTTCAGCAGGTATCCTAACTGTAAAACAAGCTGTCAATAACATTTCCATAGTTAAGAGCAGTGTTTCAAAGCATCTTTTAGACTAATTACTACTTTTGTCAATAGAAGCATCGCTTCAACAATTTCTTCTTTCAGAAAATCATTTCTGTTGCATGAAGTAGCCCAGGATATTTAAATAAATACAGCACAGTGTTTCTAAAACTAGCTCTCTAACTCCCAGCTATATATCAGATTATTACCTGCTTGTAGTTGGCTTGGTTCGCTAAGGGCTATTTACATTGGCTAAAGATATGGCCCACTGGGCTGCAAAATGAGGGCAAACCATTTTACAGGTGAGAGAATCACATGGGGCATATTCCAGCATTCTCGTTCACCTCCGTCCCCTGGACCACATTTGCTCCTGGCAGCACTTGTATTCAGGCATTTGCTATCTTTCTTCTGACCTCAAACTCAGTCAGTCGGATATAGTTTAAAATTACATTAGCTTAAGCTGGCATTTCACCGAGGAACTAGCCCATGGAGTATCCACCTCCCAGCAGCAAAATCAGTGTCCAACTTTAAACCCACAGTTACATGTGCTAATATGACCAGCGGTACAGAATAGGAGACGGGGTAACCCGTTGCTCCCTATGGGTAGATTTTGACATACTCTGCTTTGAAACTATTTAATTTTACAGGAAAATTCAGTAACTTTATTACAGGGGATATATTATAAGGAAAATTACTATTTAGGTCTTTCTCTAGATGTGCACAGACCTTTACAAAGGAGGGCTTTCAACTGGTAAAAGCAGATAGCTATACACAGGTTAATAGAGAGAGGCTGACACAAAGCGAAACAGTAAAAAAGGGATATTTATGCACTTTAAGAAGTGCCATGGTGGACGTGGGGTTTAGGTTTGACTGCAGCTCAGGTCTTCTGGACGTGTGTAAGTGTTCCCCACCCACAGCGAGTACCTGGAGGAGAGCACGAAGCATCCAGTTGATTTGAATGAAAACTGACTTAATGTTTCTACATAATAATTTGTCATCTTTTCAGCTAGTAAAGTCTCAGCAATGTGGATAACTAGATTGTGCATGCTGCAGCTGGGAAAATAGGTTTCCTTCCTCAAAGTACTATTTGTTTGATGAATGGCAGTTGAAAGAAAAGCGAGCTAACAACTTAATCCCGTGTATATTATGTGATATATTATGAGGCTTGAATGGAGTTTAGTTGGCAGACAACAATGTAGACTTTATCATCACTGAGAATATAAGGCCCAAAGGCTTTGAAACTAAAACCAGAATGAGAGGAAAGCTAGATGGAGTGTGGGGAGGGGTTGATTCGTTTCATACTCATGCCTGCCACTTAGATTTAACTTGTTGTTGAAAGATCCCATTTTCTTTTCAAATGGAAGTTTCACACCACAGCTGCGTGTGGTTTTTCTTACTAATAGAAGAACGCTGTTATGCAAAAAAACCCCACTATCCATGTTGGCTTTTTAATGTTGCTATATAGTCACTAAATGCATGGCAAAAAATGCCATGCATTCTGGTATCAACCCAGACTTGCTAGAAAACACTGCAGGGTCTAGAAATCTTTGTCTCACAGCATTGATATTCCCATGCAAGCCATTAGGTTTTGCAAAGCTGGGTTTTTGCAGTTTTTGACGTGGCTGGCTGACTGCCCACATCCCTAAATTCTCTCCTGTTCTGCCTGTGTCATGGCTTCCTCCAGCAGCTGATGTTGGGGCAACAGCACCGATGACGGGACAGTGTTGCCTACCTTCAGACGGGTGGTGGGGTTCCCGAGGCAGAGCCCTTCTCAGGAAATCCTTCTCGGCTTTTAGTAACTTAAAGGACAAATTGAGGAATTTCTCTTGACAGGAGTAGGGAGAAGAAACGGAGCCAAGCTGAATTGAGTGAAGATGCTGAGAATCTAAGTATAGTTGATGGGCACTGTTCAGCACTGGGGATTGTCTCTGTCTGTCTGTATCAAACTAAAAACTCCATCTTCAACATGGGAGGTTTTTTGTTGCTTTTCTGTATTAGACTAAAAGAGTAAGAGAATGTGACAGAACCAAGTCAGCCAGAACTTGGGTGTATCTGCTCGTCTGTCTCCTCCAGGGAGGGACTGATACACTTTTAACATCAAAAACACAGGGGTTTTTTATTCTGTAAAAACAATCAGATTTTTTTTTTCCTTTTTAATAGAGAGAACTCCAAGTTTCTCTGTTGGGAAAGAGTAGAGGAAGAAGAATCAACTGGAAGTGAAAAGATTTATCTCCAGCCCTTCCCAAGCTCAGTGTGTCTGTACAGGCAGGTCCCAACTTTTAGACTGCGTTTCAGTTAATTCAGTGTTTTTAAAGCTGCAGTAACTCTGCCAGTGACCTTTGATCCTTTTTGTCCCACCTGGGCCCTGGCTTACTGTTCCTGCTGAGGCCCATCAGTCCAGCTTACAAAATGCTTCCCTTCTATTGCCTTTTTCTCCTTAAAAGAATCTGAGCCTAGTTCTATGCACCTTCTTTATAGGCTTTTATCCAACATATTATATTCTTTTTATCTTGCTTTCTCCTTTGTCTCTTTTTAGAACATAACACTAGCTTGTAACAGCTCATTGATTAGGTGATACAGAAAATTAGGAAATATAAACTTAAATAGAAAGCTTGGAGCCTGATTTTGACAAAATTAAGTTTCTGAGATTCAGAGCTCTAGTTGAATGTATTACAAACTAATCAAATTTATCAAAAGTTTACCCATAGAAAGCCTTGCTTTCATCCCAGTATGTTGTCATTGTTGTTCCTTTTCTTGCCCAAGGAAAGTAAATTCACTTCATCGCGGTCAAATCCTGCTGGAAGACGGGCACGCGCTTGTCCACGGCAGGCAAGCAGCGTCCTTACCGATGCTGGTTGCTGTACCTGTGCCACACAACGCAGCCACGTGCGTGCAGCGCTGCGCTTGGGCTCTTTAACCAGGCTACAGTACAATGCTAAAAGCAGCTCCACGTTGTCTGACTCGGCATCAGGCGTTGCACAATCTAGACTTGCCTAAAGGTCCTCTCCAAAGCAGCCTTTCTGAAGGGGAAAAGCAGGTTTGTTTTGCTCAGCTGCTGAATGCCGTGCAGTGCTTCCCTTTGTATCCGCTCGTTCAGGATGCCACAAATAACACGGGCAGATCCAGATGCTCATTTTGACAAGCAGAGATGAGAATCCTCTTAGGCAGAAAATGTGAAGACCACCAGATGAATGCCCCAAACCGCTGGCTCACATCTTCCCAGCAAGAAGCATAAAGCACATATGTGAAATGCAGCCTACTTGTGACGTCTCATGGGGTAGGTTTGGGTTGAGCTCATCCATCATAGGATTCACAGCAGTGGCAGAATTGAAGTCAGTGTATTTATACAGCTGGCCCTTAATGTCTTTGGAAAAAAAGAAAGTGCTGAAAGGCAGCACAAAGTTTAAGAATTAAAAATTCATCTTGTGTGCTGGTATCTTTGATCAGGACACGCCAAGAACAGTAGGAAAATTATGTTCTCTCCTACGTATGGATATTGCTTGGGAAATGTGTACAGCATACACTAACTGTAGGGAGGGAAAGCAATTTATCACTTTCAAGAGGAAAAAGAGTTGCTGAGGATAAAGAATCTCATAAAATTGTAATCAACTATGAAAATTGATAGTTTGCAAATCAAGAGACTGCTGAGTGTAGGGCATCATTTTCCTTGGTCCTTGCACTCTGGAAAACATCAGCATAAATCAGAATATTGTATTCCTTGAAAACAGTTTTAAAAAGCCATTCGGTCCTCAGCCCAATTATAAGGGTCCAATAGGACAAATTTTCCAGTAACAGAGAGATGTTTTAAACACGGATGGTTTGTTAATGTGTTCTTTGAAAAGAAAACATACAGTGTTGCAAACTCCTTTCAAATCATAAATGGAAAGATTAAAACATCTCAAGTAAATGATTAATCTGTTAATTTTTACTAAGCTTTGGGGTATATACATCCTATAGCAGCAATGCAAATTTGGGGTGCTTGATGCCGCCATCTGTGCTCATTGTGTGCTTTATCACCTGAGCTGTTTTATTGTAATGAATTGGTCTGCTCACAAGTAAGGTACTGCTCAGTATGCAGTAGTAGGCAATCTACCCAATCTCGTACTTGTTTGAATGTCTCTTTTTTCCTCCTTTGCTTAAGATAATAGCATTTTTATATTACCCTTGGCTGCAGACACAGTAATGGTTAGCAATGATATATATTCACCAAGGGAAATAGCAAAGGATAATCCATATATTCCAAAGTCCGGAGCTGAAATCTTTGCAAGTTTAAAGTAAAATGTGCTTACTTGGAATGTATTAATTTGTAGCAAGGACAATAAAAATGCATTCTGCAGTTTGCTGTTATCACAAGGCAGTTGCATGCAATAATTTACTTGTGCAATGAATTATATAAGACAAGGGAGAAGAAATAAAAAGTTTAAAAATGGAAGGAGCAGGAAAATGATAAGAGAGCAGGAATGGAGGTGCAACACATATTTTTGTAGGTGAAAACAAGCCGTTTCCTTATTAATCACTCTCGAAGAGACACCTTGCTATAATTTCAAGTTAAGCTAATTTTCATGCAGAACATTGATTCAGTGTCTAGGACCCCTGAACTACCTTCTGCAGTATAAATCTATTGTGTTTTCAGCTCTGCAGGTGAAATGTGTGGATTACTAACATGGTGTGAGGCGAAAAAACTGAGCAATGCAAGGAAGCTCTGCTTTGCAAAGGAGTGCCCTGTTTCTAGGGAGCGTGATCGTTGTGGCAGTCGTTGGGAGTGCTGACCTGAGTGCCCGTCTGAAGAGGAAAGCCTAAAGCAAACCATTACAAGAAAATATCAACCCACGCTGGTTTTGAGAGCATTAAATAGGTGATGTCTGGGACGGCCTCTATCTCCTTTAAGAGCCGGTGGGTGAGAAAAAACCACTAGGCTTGGAGCAAAATTTGCTCTGGTGCCTTTGGCCATTTGGGATATGTTGGAGAAGGGCTTGAGCCCAGCTGGGGCATCTCCATCTCACCCGGAGCCGGGCAGGCGCAGGCAGGCGGCCGTATCCTGGCAGGAGCAGAGCTCTGCACGGGGCACAGCACCTCGCAGGCTTTGCTCCGGAGCTGGTTTTCGTGTAGCTGGCTGCAAGCACGGGCACACAAATGTGTCTGCAAGAGGCTGGGGCAGGCGAAGCACCAGGCAGAGGGGGTCAGCATTGCTGGTGGACTGGAAGAGGCGGGTTGTGCCATCTGGAGAATTGGGAAAGTACCTGGGGACATGAGGTACTAACTGTCAGTTGACTTCACCAGGATTTGGGCATCTAACTTCCTTGGGTGTTGGAAGTGTTTTTTCCTATGCATTTGTAGGAGACAAACCACCTCTCATCTATGAGTCTGAATAAATCACGTAGGCTTTCAGTGGACCTCAGTTCCTAAATCACTTCATTCTAAAAATGTTACTAGCAGCAAGCAAATCGTAGGTGAGACAAGCATTGAGTGCAGGACCTTCATAAAATTCTGTCAAAGTGGACAAAAATTACTGTCTTTATCCTATCGTGCCTGGAGACACTGACTCAGAGAAATTTAAATTAATTTTCCAAGGTACAGACGGAATGAGAAGCTCCTGACTCTCAGTCTTATTCCCCTGAATTGCTTGGGCACTGTCTCTTAAATAAACGCAGGGATGGCTCTGACAACTGCCAGCCATTTCTAACAGCAGATCGTTTCCTTTGCTTGCCTTCCGCTTAGTCTGGCACCTCCTGAAGTCAGGAGGAGCTGCAACCCTGACAGTAATGGGAGGAAGAGAAGATAAAAAGCTAGTAAATGCTTTTATTTAGAATTTGAAAACTCAATTTAATAAAACAAATGCTGTCGTTTTTGTAACCTCCTGATTAAAAAGCTCTTGGATGGTGTTTTACTCGCTTCCCCGCATCTTACAACACATTTTCTTTTCTTCTCAAGTAAAGGAAATAGAAGATGAGGCAGTAAGCCCACACGTCCAGTGCAGAGGAGGATTTTAAAGCCTTTCCTTTGCTAGAAGTCCCCATTTTTGTGTCTCCTCAGTTGCCCCTAGGCATTTCCTCTCAGATTACACTTGAACAATCTCTCACTTTTAAAGCTATAAAAAACAAGTAGACTTGAGGGCTTTCTGTCGTGGCTGATTTCCTTCCAAGCTGATGACTCAGCTCTGGTTAATACTTGGCAGCTGGTAGGTAAGACAGAAGTAAAATACATCTCTCTCTGGTAAGGCCCATTAAAAAATAGAAATAAAAAGATGGAAAGTGTATGCTAGTGAATGTAATTATTTAAATTATCCCCATATGGATATGTAGACACATAGCAAGCTGCAAACACAGATTTCATTTTATTCTAAAGCAACTGTTAAGACAATTTAATTTTGCCAGTCCTGGAGCCTAATGATGGACTATATAAGAACACAGCAGCGAGTTAGGTACTTTAAGCCAATGATTTCCAGTAGAAGTTTGTTATTAACTCATTCAGGCTTTCTTTAAAAAAAACCCACACATTTTCCTCAATCTTCCGCTACTGCCAGCGTGGTTATTCATTTTCCTTGAGGAAGAAGTTGGGCCCCCACATATCACATCCACATCTGACTCTGCCTGTGGCTTTACGAAACTGTACACCTTTCAACATCATGAGTTCCAAAATCTCCTGCTCAGGTAGAAAAGTTAGCCGCTTGATTATAAAACACAGCGGTCCATGACCAGCCTTCAAATACCGTCAGCTATGGTATGGCACATCCTCACTTTTCCTTTTATTATGTCCCTTGAGGTGAAAGGAAGGAGGGTCCCACTGATACTTTTCACTGCTGTTGCAATATTGCAAATTGTCTTTGAAGTATGTGAGTAAATTGTTAAGAAATAGTTAATGGGTGATGATAAGCCTTGTTGATTTGAGCAATGAAGGCAACATGATTGAAAATCAATGAACTTGTCTGAAATTGTAATATAATTAGTAGTCCTGCCAATTGAGTATATTAAATAGTTCAGAGGGGCCTTCCTGAAACAAGGTAAGTCACGTTTTGAAAGCCTCAGGAAAAAAGAGAAGTAATTTATAAACACTTTATTGGTTCAGAATGACAGGTAGTGAATGTACAGGCTATTTCCTGATGGATATTTACTTAAAATGTTGAATAATATGCTACTTCTAATAGACAAGAACCCCAATTCCTTCCTTACTAGGTTCAGTGAAGGTTTGGACTTTATACTTTAATTTTTAAATACATGAGTTACCCACCTTAGGTTTTAATCCAACTTTACTTAAGTTCAGTCAGTCACTTAATGAAAGAAAGCAAGAACAAGCAAGAACGGTCTAAATACAAAAACAGATATTGAGGTTGTTCCCTGGCATTGGTTTACTAGTTTACTCTTTTCTATTATTATTTTCTATTTTCTGCCCCCAAAGTTGAGCCGTAGCTTGCACTGAAAGCCAGAATGTTGCTCATCTCCCCGGTTCTCAGGTCAGAGCTCTTGTGCAGCGCCCTGTGAAGGCTCTCGAGCCACCGACAAGGGGTGGCACCCGGCGGGTGAGTTTAAAGTCGCCAATTCCTTGTTTTCCGCAGTGCCACCAGTGATCCGCGTCTACCCTGAAACGCAGGCGCAAGAGCCCGGCGTGTCGGCAAGCCTCAAATGTCACGCCGAAGGCATCCCTAATCCTCGAATTACCTGGCTAAAGAACGGCATTGATATCATGCCAAAACTATCCAAACAACTAACGCTTCTAGGTAAGAACAGAATTTTGATTCATTAAAGTATTGTAGACGGGGATTAAGGAGGATTATTTTGCACTTTAAACTAGAAGTTCTTGTACTTTCGCTAAGCCACCGTTGTTGGAAATCGTGTTACAAAACCGCTGTTCTTTCTTTTTATCTTTTTCTCCTGTGAATTTCTTGGGAAATACAGTATCGATTGATATAAGTGGTAACGGTGTTCTGTTAAAAGACAGCGTGTCTGGTTCTCCACTGCCTCGCCTCTTGTGTACAGCAGTGCAAATCAGAAGAGAAATGCATTAAATTATTTGTTGAGGTATAAGCACTACGTTGGTTGCAAGTCAGCTGAGAATCAGGCTGTGGTTCTCCTGCCGTCTCACACCCACCTCCCCAGAGGGAATCGGCCTCTTGACTCCTGTTAGTCCTTGTTCAAACGAGGGTCCAACAGACACAATGGAAGGCAAAAATATTTATTTGTAATTTGCTGTGTAAAAATATTAAAAACCTACCCATACACCCCACAGTCTGGCTGTGGTGTATTGCAACCCTTAACCAGTGTTGGAAACACAGATATCCCTGCATGGGTGGGTGCGGTATCTCAAAATCTTCCAAAGCTTTTAGGCAACAGTCCTACTCCAGAAAGCAAAATGATAGGAGAAACTGTAGAGACACCCTTCCCAAACCCAAAGTTTTGGTGATCTGATGAAAAACGGTTTGCAAAATTGAAGTTAATTTTTATCCACTAAAGCCAAAGCTTTTTTTTTTTTTAACAAGAAGAAATAAATGAAATGTAATTTATTGTTTGCACTTGGGATTGGTCTTTGTTCATTTCTGACGCAGAGTGTGTATGTGCTAATGGAAAGAAGCAAAACATCAGCTCTCATGAGAGTCCCCCAAGTACTTCTAGTTCTGTACAGGGAAACATTGCGCGGTGAACCCACGCTGTTGAGCTGTCACCGGGCGGCTGTGACAATGGAAGGCATTTAAGGGCAGTAAAAACAATTAGCAGCAGTGAGGAACACTGTTTATGGGTGTCTTTCTTACAGCAAATGGAAGTGAACTTCATATCAGTAGCGTTCGATATGAAGACACTGGTGCCTATACCTGCATTGCTAAAAATGAGGTGGGAGTGGATGAGGACATATCTTCACTTTTCATAGAAGATTCGGCAAGAAAGACCCGTAAGCTTAACTTTCCATGTATTTATTTCTTTAAAGAGTATTTAAATGTAATGGTATACATGCAGTTTAATAGTTCAGTCCATTGCATGCGGAATGTTGGACTCTTACTCGTAAGGCAATGACAATTTTGTCTGTGCTTTGATCAGAGGATTTTATCCTGTTTGGGGAAGGAATCACGTGGGGAAGGTAAAATCTCCTCATCCAGGACGATGGTGCCTTTCATGTGCCGAGTGTACTGGGTGTGGTACGGGTAACATCTTTATTAAAGTAACAAATTTGCAATAGTTTTAGATATCAGAGAATCCGAAACCTCATATTTTATCAAATTATATGCAGTTTCAGAAAATAAATTTCATTGATTTCTGTACAAGATTTCTTCTTTTAAAGCCAGTTATGAGTCAAAGTTCTCAAATATTTAGATGCTTGAAAAATGTTCTGATTGAATTATTTATTTTACCTGTATTTACATCGCTAGCTAGCAAAATAGGTTTCCCTTGGCGTGAAAATATCTTCCACTTCAAAGACAAATATTCTCCCAGCCACTCTTAGCTGCATGTCTCCCATAGGAGTGCAGCAGTGTTATCTTGACCGCACTGTCCCCGAAACACAATTAATGAAGGAGGTGATTAGTTGCCCCAGTGGAAAAGCTCCCAGAGGCCTGATCCTTCCTAATTCTGCTATCTTAACTACTTGGGAGATTGCCTGGGTTTATGGTGATACTAAAAGGCTGGGTGCAAATGGGATTTTTGCTACTTTTCTGGCTCTTAATATAGAGCAAGAATTGAAAACGAAGTTAGCCATAAATATGTGCTCTCATGGTGATTCTTTGGAAAATATATTCTATTCCTCGTTAGATAGATTTATGTACTCTTGTTAATATCGGTCGTTTTCCCTTGAATACTTGAGCAAGGGAAATTACAGTATCTTGAGAAATAATTGGATGTATCTTAAACAGAAATTCAAATGCAGATTTACTTTCAAAGAGTATTTGAGTCCTGAAAGAGAATGTAGTTGCAAGAAATTCCAAGAAGAAATGCAGCAAAGTGTGTAGCTGCTGTAACTGCCAGACTCAGGCTTCTGAAAGATGTCATGTTTCCTTATTGAACATGTACAGAAAATCACAGCCTGTACCATGCCTCCAATTACATTTGAAGGTAACATCTTCTCTTTAGTAAGACTTTGATCTTTGCACAGGCTAAAGTTGGCTTCATTTCAGGGAGGATTTTTCCTCTGTCAAAGTTTCAGAATTGTTTCTAGAAGGAGCAAATGTATTTAGAACTATCTATCTTTCCTGATATTTTATTTGAATGAATGTTACAAAGTTTTCACAAATTAAACAGTTCATGTAAACAAGAGTATTAATTCAGTTACTTGCTACAATGAAAATTTTGACATTGTTTTGTTGTTTTTTTTCTTTTCCTGATTATTTTCTGGCTTTCCCAATTTTCTGATGCTGCAGTTGCAAACATACTGTGGCGAGAGGAAGGTACTGCAGTAAAGTTCTTTTGTTGTAGTGATAATGTGCTTGTCTGCTTTAATAATTCCATGATGGGCCATTCTCCACTGACTTGCCACTAACTCTATCAACTTTCACAGTTACCAGATTAAATACAGATCAGACATTTAAAAGCTAAACTATTCAAATGAGAGATGTCACTCTTGTAATATAAATTTTACCTATAACTTCTTACATTTTTCCACTATGAAATAATAGATGATCATAAAATATATAAAAATGTGAATTTTATATAAACTGTCACCGATGTGAGTAGCCTGAGATTCTCAAGCTGCATTAACAATTGCACAAGTGTCAGAAGTGCTCCCAAATTACCATAATTGAACAAGTAAGACATAAATTCAATACACTGCATTTTTAAGCAAGCAATTCAAGTTCTTCCTCCTCGGTGGCGGGTATCGATGTTTACTAGGTGAGCAACAAAAATTGTGGTTTTGACTGTTAGGCAAAAAAAAAACCACAACAGGTTTTGCTTCCGTCTATCCTTTAAATCGATGCAGGGTAAAGGTTGCCCCATTTCTCCTTGTTTTAATTGGCAGTTAAGATCTCTAGTTTGATCAAATTTATAGTGTGCCCTGTACAAGGTCAACATCTGTGTATCTTGGAAGCCAAATTAGGAAAAAAACCCATCCTAAACAGCTAATAGACTCAAAGATATTATGGAGGCACTTGAAATGAAAATTTATTTGATTTTGTGCACCCTAGTGCTGTCATAATTTCCAAAACACGCAGTAAGACGCATTGTGCAAAGGCCCAAGGAGCTCTCAAGCAGCTCGCCCGTCTGCCTCTGTAGGGGCACGGATGGGACCCTCTCCCGGCTTTGGGCTCCTGGGGGCTGCGAGCAGGGCATCCCCTCGCTGGAGGAAGGTTCTTGGACTTGAAGTCCAGGCGTAAGGCAGTTCTTACATCTGCCAGTTGCGTATGAGGAAGCTGGGACCTTGGTGTCCTTCCAGCCTCGTGGGGAAGGTCTCTGTGCACTTCCAAACTGCTCTTGACCACATCCCACGGCAAATCCCCCTCCCTCCCTCCCTCCCGTTGTTCCTCCAGGGAGGGCTGCACGCTCACTCTGCCTTTGGAGGGTGCAGAGACCCTTCCATACGTAGTGCCTCCAGGTACCCAAAGGGACAGTTGTGCTTCATGCCCTTGGCTTGGAGCTCTCTGGATTGCTGTGGCTTGGCCCAAAGGATTTTAGGGGCAGAAGGAAAGTGCCAGCCCGTAGTGCTACCTCAGCCAGGTATGGAAATACCCGATGCGTACCTGTTGTCCCGCTGTCGGCTGCAGACACGTACAGACAGCAAATGCAGCTGGCTGGAGGTCGTGAGACAAGGCACAGCCGCCTAAGACAGCTCTCCAGCACTTATTCCCAAATACGCTACCTGCAAGTGCCTTGTGCACAGCAACGAAGTGTCTCTTTACTGCTGATGTTCCTGCAAATGGCACTATGGGCACTAAGAATTGCTATTTCCCTTCTGCTTGGAAGTGAAATCTCTAGTGCATCTAATCAGTCCAGCATCATCTGCGTGATGCTACGTGGCTGTTTATGTACTGCATCCCTTATGCTCCTTTTTAAAGAAAGTAGTTGGATAACCCTAGCAGATGTAGAAGTATAGTAATATTTAAAGAGTAACCAAGAAGTTGGTTGCAGAAAGTCGTCTTATAATTCTGCTAAACAATATGGACTTACTGCTTATCGACCTTGCACATTTTAAATAAAAGTATGAGCAATGTACAGGGAAAACATGGGCGGTAGAAGCAGATTTACTATTGATGTTCCTAAACAATTCAGTATCTTTAGAGCAGGTTTATTCCCTTGCCTGTGCGGTTCTATAGTATTTGATCGGCACGTTCCTTCTAGACAAAGAATCCATCGAACATACTTTAGCATGTGAAATCTTGGCACAGAGACAGCTGGAAGAGAGGAATGGTATTTTTATTTTTGCATTTTAATGTATTCTTACAATTCCATTCAAATGAAAACTTCAGTGTAAGTAGCAATATTAACAAATGGATTGCTAGACTTGAGCTCCTTTAAAATGATCACGTCCTCACGCCCACAAGGTCTGTAGTAACTAAAGCTATTGGGAAAATGCCTAGACAGAATATTGTGTAGAACAAGCTTTTGCTTCAAGTCAAAGTTTTAACACAAGTATTTGGTCATTTTAAAAGTCAGTCTATCGGTCTGTTCTCAAAACCTTTCGCAGACCATGCACAAGTAAAACCTCAAGAAATGAGTGCACATAGCATGACCAGCCAGTTAAACGTGGAACTGGAAGCACGTGCAATATTTACTCAGTGTACAAACTGGTTTTTGATTTTGTACAGAAAAAACTGCGAGTAGCCCAAATGTGAGGTAGAGATTTGTTTTCATGCCAGTGTTCATTTCTCCAGTGAGTGTTGCTTACTTTATAGCTGGATAAAGGGAGCATATCGTGACAGCAGGCAATCATCAGTTATATGAATGTAATGCACTGAAAGAGCTGAAAGCCTTTTTATTACCAAATTTAAGTTCTAAAATACTTCCAAGCATTTAGATTAAATCGAGGAAAATCATTCAAGTATCAGATCAGAGGAGAGTATTCCACAGTGACAAATCTGCCCTTTGATCTCAAAGGAGGGAAATAAAAATGTACACTCAGATGGAGACTGTATTCCTCAAACAAAGAAAACTCTTGTTGTCATCAGGCGTCCTCCTGAAGTTTTTAAAAAATAAAGATGTTAGAGTCAACTTCATCTGGAATGGTTCAAATAAGAACCGTTATGTTTAGGAGACCCTCCCCATTCTTGATGGTGTTTTTTTTATATTAGGGGTTTTGTTATACAGATGAGGTATGTTGCCTTTTATAAAGCCTTTAGTTTTTGAACTAGTTGTGTCATCCAGCCTGAAATGCATTCAATTAAACAGGGGAAAAAAGAAAAACCCTCCTCATTAGTCCCCCAGTTCCCAATCTAGTACCTGCCTCACTAGTATAAATAACGCAACCGAGCAAAATTCACCATTGCCCACCTCTGTACTGAATTAATTCCCCAGAACAAGGAGTTGCAGCAGCATAGTCAAGAGAGGAGTCTGTTTTACCCATGTCCGTGAGATTGTTTAGAGATGTACCCCAATCAAGACTTGGCAAATACTTTGTAAGTCACAACAAAACACCTGGTCTGTCTAGTAAAAACCCTGCTTTGCCTAAAAATCAGTGTGGAGATTACTCTCTGAACAGGTATTTTAATTTAAATTGGTAAACTTCTTTAAAAAGAGAGTACCTGAATGCTATTAGTAATTTGTGTCATATTTTAACTAGTCAGCAGAAAAACTTGCACTCATTTTACTGTAAAATAAGCTGTGGGACTTGCCAAGTCACTAACTCTAAACCTACTGGGGTAAAATTATTATCAAAGTATTTTTGTGACTAATTAACACCTTAGTTCTGAAATACACACTCATTGTAATAGGATCATCAGACAAAATCACGCTACTGTCGTGCATGAAAATAATAATAAGCATCTTCACAATGGTCATAATTTGTTGCCTGCCTGTTTCCACTTCTTAGGATTAAAATCCTTTATTCATGAAAATATGTGCACTCATTGCAGCCAGGGTCAAATTCTGCCTTCTGATGTATTCACTCAAATCCCACTGAAGCAGGTGGGAGTTGTGTGCATGCTGTGAGCGCAGATTTTGGTCCAAAGTGCCCGAATGAAATGTTTCAACAATATACTCGGAAAAAATTAGCCTTTAGCCCATAAAGATAAATTAGTTCTTGATGGAAGTTCGGTAGCTTTTTTGTACATGCATGATCCCTCACTGTGGCATCACATTTAAGGATCACGGCTCCGGTACCCGCCTGATGCCCTAACTGGGGTATTTCTGTGGTATGGTTTAGAGAGACTCAACTGGAACAGGGTCAGTACAGCAAACACCACGTGCTGAGATGTTGTACTCTGAAGCCACTTATTTGGCAATAAAAAGAGGGGAGTTTAGCACCAAAAACCCCCTTCTAGCCTTACTAAATACCATCTCTTTTACAAAACGTTCCAAAAAGGCAGTTGTCCAAATTATACAGGTTTCTACTGTTTTCCTATGATGATTTAGACCTCAATCCTGCAAACACTTAAGAGATGAGACACTCTGTAGATGTGAGCAGTGTTTAGAGGTGCCACCACAGGACCAGCCAAGGGAATTGCAATGCTGAATGTTGTTCAGATCTGTAGAACCAGGACCTTATTTCTCCATGGGTAAAATGTAATTAATTAGAAATTACAAATTATCACCATATTGTTGGCAGATAAGTACGCTATCAACTTTGCTGGGGGTGACAGTGGTCATTGCAAACACTTACTGGTGGTGGTATGAAAAAGATGAAATGATGCTCGGGTCTTTCTAACTAGAGTGTTTGAAAAGATCCTGACCATTTCTTAAAGATGCTCGTTACTGCAATTGCATGTAGCTGAAGAACAACTAAATTATTGGTGGTTTAAGGCATTTCTGCATGACAGAAATGATAAAATATGATCTCCTAACAGCAAAGCAATGACAGACAGACAGTTTTCCAAATCTCCTGGAATGCCCCAGTTGGAAAAATGAGTGCTATTGCAATGCTGAACTACTCCACATTTGTGAATTACAGTTTGCAAGATTTCAAAAATGTATTTGTTTTGGTGGCTGTAGTTAGTTCATCCAGATAGTTTAAGAAAATAGAGAAATATATTTATTTTCATTCATGGAACCAATATTAAGCACTTCCATTTTGCATCACAGTTCCAAGAAGTCAAGTTACCTGTAACAGGACCAAATTCAGATTAATTTTAACTAAAGCTTCTCTCTCAGTTTTCAAATCATTAGCAAGCTATTTTTAATGAAATCATAGAAAAAACCAAAGTCGTAATCTGAGGGAGAGAACAATGCAATACAGGGTGCTTCTTGTAATCAAATCCCACTTCAGTACATATGCGCAAGACCTGAACATAGTTACTTGCGTACAACCGCTGCCACCAAGGCAATGCATTTTTGAATGTGTCTGTACCTCTTCACTCCTTGAAGCCCTTGTTGTGACATGAAATTTGATTTTGTGAATGCACCGACTGCATCCAAATGACCAACTTTTATGTAAGGCAGATTTTGTTTGTTGGGGGAGGAGGGAGAGTTCTTTAAAACAGCTATGGATACATGCCAAAAAAAAATCCTACTCCTTTTGCTTTATCCCCCTTCAAGGCCTGAGTGTTGGGAATATGTTCTATGTCTTTTCTGATGATGGGATCACAGTCCTTCAGCCAAATGAATGTGAAATCCGGAGACACATCAGGCCCGAAGAGAGGATTTTCACGAGTTATGTAAGTCCTAAACCCTGGAGCTACAGCCAAAAGCTGGGAAACTTTCTCTTAATCTCTTCAAAGGTTGTTATTGCTCAAGGACCCGTTTGACACAGTGATGTTGGGGCTTGGTGGGCTTCATGTGGTATCCCTGAGGTATATCATCTTCTCCTCTTGAAAATTAAAATATAAGACTGACATGGAGGATTACTGACACCCTGCAGAGAATTTGACTAGTTTTCATATCAAAATGTAGGCAAAGACTTTCACTTGTCCTGTTTGACCTATTTACATATCTATGCCCAAAAGTTGTAACTGGGCGGTAGGGAAAGTACCGAAGTCAATAGCAGAGGGATGCACACATCACTCACTGGTGCTGACTGGCCCCTTTTACTGATGGCTCGGTAGGCAAAGGAGTGGGCTACTTTCTGCTCTTCAGAAATGGTTTCCCAGGTTAAACCACAGCAGGGATGCAAGTAATAACGCACGGAAGATGGCCGTGCCGTGCTGATCCTCTGCATCTTCTGCTGCTGAACCAGAGACCCGCACCATCCTTGTTTACTGTCCGGCATTTTCTGCCAACACTGAGTTTACCTAACCCTTGCTTTAGGAAATCAGAAGGAAAATTTGGTCAAGTGTCAGTGGATGTCAAGCACTGGCTCGTACGTAGTGCAGCTCAACAAGGCAAGTGGGATAACACGTGCCTGGAGGCCCTGTGAGGCCAATGTTTCAGTGACCTGTGTTACGTACTCCTGTGCTGTAACATATACCATGTATGTGCTCATGAAATTACCAATTCTTATAAAACACAGGTGCTGAAATACATCCAGAAATGCTTTTTTAGTCACTCCTTTATTTAGGTGGGTTTTTTGAAAAGGGGAAGCTTAGAATGTGGCTCTCTTCTGAAGAAAAGGACTCAGCCTTGCTTTCAATTTTGGGAGGAATAAAAGGGGAGAATCACTATTATGAGCCCTGCAGGCTGGGTCAGGCTCTGCTGCCATGGGTCACGATCTTCTTGTGAGTCTGTATTCAGTATTTTTTTAAATCTCAATAGGTTTGTGGTTGATGTTGGGGTTTTTCCCACTGGCTTTTAATATACCTCAGTAGAAGTCCAGACTGATGCTCACCCCAAGACTGGTCCTTAGCATGGGCTTAATATTATTAAGCCACACTTGAGCTGTTGCTACTCAAAGGCAGAAATCTTGTGTTTCTTTTCCAAAGAGCTGTAAATATTGAAGAGGAGGTTCTGGAGAAACAGCTTGAAAAGAACAAAGGAGAGAGGGCACTTAAGGAAATAATGTCAGCACAGTGGTGGGCATAAAAGGGATTTTTAACGTCATTACTTGGCTGCCTTTCAGAGAGACCTCTAAGGGTTTCCTACAGATATCATAGGGCCTTTTGCCCTTGGTATAGGGAGGACTGACTTTTTTTTTCCTCCCTTTTCCCTTTTAGTATCTTGAGTGTTCGCCACATAGACAGTGACACCAGCCTGCAACTTCAGGAGGGTTTCTACAAGAAAGGTTTCTTCGTTTGCTATTAGAGGGCGCAAAAGCAGATAGAGCAGCTGCAGCTGAGCTCTGTAGCAGAAAGGCCGGTGACCTTTCCCTGCTCCTGTTGGTTTGGCTGGATGCTGTGTTGTGAAAGCCCAAGCCCCAGCACAGAGCCAAGGATGAGGAGGGCAGTTTGGAGGCTGTCAGGTGCTTGGCTGCGTGAATGGCTGCTGGAAGCCCAAGGCTGGGCTTTTGTAGCATCTTTTAGTTTGCAGTAGCATAGATCTCCAGCCTGGCTGGAGGGCCCGAAAGGAAAACGCAGCCAAGTTGTTGAGTTTTGTATCTTCAACCCTTACACATGGTCTCCACCAAGCTACCTAGCCAACAGAGCTGTGCTACTTAAAGGTGAAATCTTTTTATCCATAATCATTGCTCTGATACAGACACGGCGCTGGCATTGTTTTTTCTTGTACCTCCTCTTCCCCTGAACAAGCTCTGCTGCTGTAATCGCTTTCCCCTTAGGGAGGTTGTGCCATTATTTAAAGTGACCCAGCTGTTGTATTGACAAGATTTAAAACCAACAGTTGCGTTCACTGAAATATATATGTGTTCATTTAGTTTCGCCCTCGTTTCCACACCACAGCCTGGTTCCACATAAATGCTTTTTCAAATAAAGCAACTCGACAGAAGGAAGAGTGATGAAGAGCAGCCAACGTGCAGGGGCTTGTTGGTGAGATCACACATGACTCTTCAAACTTAGGGTACCAGTGAGCTCCTGCTAAAGCTAATACCAGTTTTGCACAGGACTCAGTGAGTGGAAGATCAGAGGCAAAATATGGCATCAGGCAGCTGTGAACAGGATTTGGTCCAAAGCAGCAGGATTTGGTTCCCTTTGAACATGGGAAGTCTCTGTGTTGGAGCAATAGACTGTAGGACCCTACTTGTTTTGCTACTGTTTCCCTGAGCACAAGCATCTTAGAGCACGCTCTCCTGAACTGAAAATGAAGACTTTATGAAAAATATAAAGCTGTGATTCAATTAATGTAAATCACTGTTTTTTCAAAGCACAGAGTGATATTTCTATTGCTAATAAATGCTGACAGCACTGCAAGTCTTGATGAACCACAGCGTACTTCAAAAGATAGATCCATAGGCTGAGTGGTTATTTAAATTCAATGTGAGTTTGCAGGAGGCCCAGCTGTTTAATGTCACTGGGTAGAACTAGGCTGCAGTGTGGTACCTGATAAAATAATTATTTCATGTTTTCCAGGAAAGAAAGGGGGAAAATACCATCCTAATGGAATCCCCAGGGAATTTTTTTTCTATGTTTTTCAAGGCTAAGCTTCTTGCTGCTCCAGTCCCTGAACTTGTAGAAATTAAACCTTTTCTCCTCTTTTTTTTTTTTTCACCCCTCAGGAAGAGATCTGTCCTAGAGTGGAAGGTGAAGGCACTCAGTCCTGCGCCTGGGCTTCAGCGGTCAATGTCAGAGACAAGTACATTTATGTGACACAGCCTAAGCAGAATAGAGTAATGATAATTGATATCCAGACTCAGAAAGCCATACAGGTACTTACAAGGGGAACTCTTTATTCACTGATGGCAAAAGACTTGATGTGGGACAAAAAAAGTAGATCTTCACCCAGTGGATCTGCTGACATCACTAAAAAGTTGGGCCTGTGTTGCTTTCACCCATGGGGTCACACAGTTTGTAACCTCACTGCAGGAAAAAAACTCCTTTACAGGCTGTTTGTCATCATCTTGGGGCTGCATCTGCAGCCAGGCTTGCAGCTAGCGTGGTAAAATAATGCTAGAACAAATTTCTGGCTTATGCTTACCGAGCCACTGCCTGACCTCGGTTATAAGCAGGTTGGGAAGAATGAACTGGTGTGGGTATAACTCAAGCAGAAATTGGCCCCTGATCTACTGGCTATAAGTAACAGCATAAGATGGAGTGATGTCTAGCCGGAAAACGGCATCGAGCAGCCAGATTTTTCTACTGCTGGTGCTGCCGCTGATCCCCTGATTGATTCGAAGGTAATTGTGCAAAGCTGCACAAATGGGTATAACAGCGGTACGTGGGAACGTCTGCAGTAAACTAATACAATATTCATCATGTGCGTTTGGGTCATTATGTAAATACCTGTCTCCTTTTTTTTAAGTCCTTGGACGTTGACCCGTTACCAACCAAATTACATTATGACAAGTCCCACGACCAAGTGTGGGTGCTTAGCTGGGGTGACATGAGGAAGTCCTCACCAACGCTGCAGGTGAGTCCTTGTGTGCCTGAGCCTTTGCCCTTCCTTGTCTTGGCATCATCGGTAGCAAGCTGGTGACTGGTTGGTTGCAGGTAATTAACAGCATTTAATGGTCTGGATATAAAGCCGCTCTTTCATTTGCATATCTAGTGTGTTTTATTCATCCCTCCTCCGTCCATCCTCACGTATTTTTCCTGCTGTTTAATTTGTTTTTGAGCGATGACTGTGCCATAGGCTGGCAGCAGGACTGTTTTGTTGCCAAGGTCTGTTTTGTTTTAAGGCTGATGACAGAGCCAAGTGCCATAAAGTCATACAGCAAGGGCTGGCAGCTGACGGCGAGCAGTACGAGCCCGCGATGCTGCAAGTCATTTGTACAGCCTGCGTGAGCGCAGCTTCTTTTTAACTTGATTGAGGTCTAAAAGCAGTGGGTACCAAGAAGCCACAAAGAACGTACTTTCTGTATAGAAATCTGTTACTCTTCAGGTTATTGGTAGTGTTTCATTGGAGGCACAAGTCAGGCCAAGCAACACATTCAAAGATAAGCCTAAGGAAGGGACTAAGTGTGTGCTCACTGCAGAGCTGCAGCGCACCCTTCTCAGACGTTATGATGACCTGTGAATTTTTCTGTCTGCCAAAAAATTTGGGGGCATTGCACAGAAAAGAAGCATTAAAACGTGAATGAATTGTACTGTGCCTCAAGATTCATAACTCCTTCAGGTTTACTAGCCTAGCACCCTTGTTATGCATTGAGCAAAACCACCCTGTCCTCCAGTTTGGTAAAGGCTTTTACCTCTTCCTGTCTTCCACATAGAAGTGCAGGTTTTCTGCCAGTGCACCAAATAGCTACTTATTTTCCTTAAACTCATTTTGTCCCTTGTCTTTCACAAGGCTTCAGCCTCCTTTTGGATGATGATGGAGCATAATGTGGTAGAATTGTTCCTTTCATAGTAAAATGCAGAAAAGAGCTCTCCAGGGCATGAAAAAAAAAGCATAAACAGCAAAAGTAAAGCATCAGGGACAAATTCTGTTATTGGGTGTCAGTGACTCCACTGGAGGGGTACCAGTGAGGTCCCTGGGGCTGCTCCACGCTCAGCACCATCAGACCCACAGTGATATTGGGCTCTCTGGTGCACAGTAATGCACATAGGTTTGAACAACTAAATTAGCTTCCATTTCTGGATTGCCCTGGAGGATTCACTCTTCTGTTGACAGTACAGAAACAGTAAGTGTAGGCTTCTCATTGGGCATTTTGCTGCTGCTGCATGTCATATGACAGAGTTGACACCAGAGCTGATTTGATCCATCTAGACATACCCTTCTCTAGTAGTTATTTTCTGGCGCTTGCTGCCCAACCTTTCTGGAAACATAGGTGTCGTGAATGCTCCTTCTACCAGAAACGTTTGCTTCTATTTCTGCATAAAAGCATGCCCCAGCAGGCAGAGAAGAAGGGTGGCTGTGCTTTCTGACCTAAAAACCTACAAATCTGGAGGCTATGATAGTTGTGGGGCTGCCCAAGGCCTCACTGGAGATGCTGCCCCATGAAGGTGGGACGAGCCATCCCCACCAGCCACATTCTCCATCCAAGATAACGGCTACAGCTCGCAGAGTTCCAATAATAAAGAACGGACCAGCAACTCAACATGGGCATTTTCAGGAAAAGATGCCAGAAACAGAATGGGGACAAATAAATGAAGGTTTCTGAGGCAATGCCACCAGCTTGTCTCACCTGGGGATGAGCAGTTTTCCGTACAGGGTATAAGGAGACAAAATGGACTGTCTTTACCCTTTCTGACTAAATTTCTTCCATCCAGCTGTGAGAGGTTTCTGTAATTAAAGGAGAGATGGGACAAGCATGTGATTATTAACAAGAACACACCATCTGCACAGTTGGAAACCTGTTATAAGGCTCCAGCTCTCAGATAGTCCTTTCTGTTATCTTTATGAAGTGCACTTACACATATAGAGAATGAGATTAGCATCAGCATCAGCACATCTTTTCTTTTTTCCGACCTTCCTTCCCAAAAGGTGGGCAGCGACTAATTTGGCCAAGTTCGTTCTTAAAACCTGCGGTGGTTAGTTGCAGACAGGCAATAAAATATCTTTTTTAACAAAGATGCTGCTGCAGAGGTTCATCTAAATTTCCACTCATTCTTCGGAAGTCAGGGATTTATCAAACAGCCCGTGCAGCCGACTAATGGGGTGCTGTTGTTTAGCCATTACAGGCTTGTGGGAAGCAAATGTCTGGCCTTGTGAAAGTACCGTGCAAGAGCGGGCATCTTTCCTGAGCAATCTAATTGGAAGAAATCTAAATGGCACGACCAGAACAGCTGTCTGAACTAAATCGCATAGGGTTTTAGCATTTCCTTAATGAATTATGTAGCTATAAACTCAAAGCAACTACTGTTGCACATTAGAGCAGCAGAAGTTCCTAATGAACGGACTAAAGTCATCTTGAACTGAGCAAACAATTTGAGTATTTAACGTTTTAATTATTGAAAACTTCTCATTTTCCGGAGCGGTGGAGGAGCTGAGTTCCCATGGCCGTGGAGGTGAGCGCCGTGCTGGAGGACAGCACGGAGCGGGGACAGCCAGTGGGCCTCTCTCTGCTCCTCCCTGAATTTTATACGGTGCGGTAGATGGATGAACAGTTCTTCTCCTTCAAAGCGATAATTAACTTCTGTGAGTTAGTGTTTGATCCTTCAAGCTGGTAAATTATCGCTGGGCGTTTAAGTGAGATTAATAAATATGACCATGAAATAAATGTTTATTTTAGACAGTGAGGAATAAATTATTATGGTCTTAGTGTTGTCATACTGCCTCGGCTCCTGCATGACTGCTCTGTCTCAAGATATAAACATCAGATGAAAGTCAAGTTGTGTACTTACCTTACAAATGTCAAGCCTCAAATACTATTTATTAGCACACCTTTTTCAAGACAGCTATACCAAACAATATTTGGAAGTCATTAATCAATTCGAGTCTACTACATCCCTGGGAAAAGCCACTCGGTACCCTGTATGACTATGTAATCTGTATTTACCTTTCTGCCTCGCTTGCTGCTTTTCCTGTACTCAACCTCATGTGTATTTATTGTAGGTAATACCAGAAGCAAGCGCAGGGGAGGATCAGCATGTTATCCGCACGCCATTTGAAGGAGTGGATGATTTTTTTATACCACCTACAAATCTTATTATTAATCACGTTAGGTAAGAAGTGATCTTCATGACTAGCAACAGTGACCACGCTGCTCTCTTCTAGTGGGCATCCTTCTAATAATCTTACAGCACTTCACAACTGTGAATGAATGCATTCATGATCAAGCTAACTACCCTTATCCCCATTTTCACGTGTGAAATGGAGAAATGGTTGAGCAAATTACCAATAGTTATTCAGCGAATCAATGAAAGAGCAAGAAACAAACCTGGACTTCCCTTAGCCCATTCATGGGTATTCAAACCTCAGCGTGGTGAGGCATGCCTCCTTGCAGCGAAGTATGACACGCTGCCCTGGCTTGCTTGTGCCGGGAATTTGATGGCCAGAAAGTTGCCTTCCCTGCCTCAAAACTGCTTTATGGATCTGAGCAGAAACCTATGTCAAAGATTTATTGCCTGAAGTGGTAAAAGTTTATTCTGCCTGAAGCATAAAGCGTGGTACTTCCACATGTTTCCAACTTGTTCAAATATTGGATCTCTGTGTGAGGTGTACGGTTTGAGCAGAAAAATGGTATGCGCCGCATATTAAAAAAAAAACCCACCTCTTTGAACCATCAGTTTTGAATGTTAATGTGATGTAGTGGTTAATGAGATTGTATAACTAACATACTAATAACTTGGAGTAATACTGGCTGCTTCCCAGCAGGCACAGGAAGCCTCCCATTAACACTATCAAAATTGATGATAACTGCACAGCAGTTTATACTTTTCTTACCATGTTATAACATAACAACTGTTTAACCATCTTCTGTCCCCAATATAGTTTAACTAAGTTAAACACTCAAAAAATCATAATGTAACTTCTTACATTAATCTTAGGTTCCCTGCAGTGAACACCGAGGATGGGGGGGGTCACACTTAAATGATTATGTGTTGAATCTGGTCCAAAATAAATAACTTTGCTTCCTGAAACACAAAATAATGAGACATACTTCATGGCTGTCATTCTTTCCCTGCCTCAATTTTCCAGTTTGCTTTCAAAATACCATTATGACTACTAGTAGTGCCAGGAGGTAGATGACTCTGCTGAATGTTAAAGCCTGAGATGAGAAGGTATGGTCTGGGGTCGAGGACAGGAAGATGGAACAATTACACTTTTTTGTTGTTGTTTTATTGTCCTTTTGCTTCAGCGTAATTAATTGGCTGTATACAGATGATCTTCTGTAACAAATATTAAAAGTAGATAATTGTCTATAGTTTTCCATGTGCAAAGCGGAGAATGCTGTGCCTAATTTCCTATTTCAGTTGTTCAGGGCCAGATCTTTGTCTGTTGTCTCTCACCCTCGGCACAGAAAAATAATTGCTCACAGTCTAATGAGACTTGCTGAGATCATGTTCTAAATTCTCCACTCAGAAACAATAACTGGCAATACCAGCATTTCCCAGGAAGGTGAATATTTAAGTAATCTCTTCTGTGAGCCAAAAAATATTTGTATGCAAATGTTCCTGCATATGTATTTCAGCTGCCTGGTATTTCAGATAGATATCTAGGAATGTATCCATTTTTATTAGTTCCCAGGGTAGATTGTTGTCTATTAAAAACTCTCTAAGTGCGAGGTTTTCTTTGAGATTTCAGATCACAGATTTCATGCAAGTGCTGTGCCTCTTCTGCAGCTGTGTGCACATAAAACACATTCTGACCCACTTTTTTAAATTAAAGTTTATGATAAGAACCATTTTTTAACTTCTTCAGGCATTTGGCCAAGTATTAAGGAAGTCTTGGGAAAAAAAATGCTGTAAGGGAAAGCATTTTTTAAAGTGTACTTAGAATGCATTCATCCAGGAGAAATACAAGTGTCATATCCAATTTCCCCACACACAGTGTACTACGAATCTCCACTGCAGATATTTTCTGAAGTCTCTAATGGATGTGAGTATAATGGGAAAATGAAGGGCTTAGCCCAGTGATTTTCATGGGATCATACACTACATTGGCTCGTTCTTTAGAAGTGAAATCATTGCCGAGTGTCTCATTGACAGATGGATTAAGAATAAAGAAATAAACCCAGTGTTTTAAGCAAAATACATATTATCTGCACGTAAGCACATTGTCCTCCACATTTCACAAAGCAATTTTACATCTTTTGGGGAAGAGATACAAAACTAAGCGCGCACTTCATTTCCTTCTGTCTGCATTGAATGGATGAAAAGATACTCAATGTAAAATTAGTTTTCCTAAGTCAGTAGCAGTGACCTGTGAATCCAGGGGAACACAAACAGGCTGTTTCTATGGGCTCCCTCTCAAATTAAGCAGAAACCTTTCTTGGCTATTCTTGACCTTTTCTTGTCTTCAGCAAAGGTCAGATGTGCTGCAGCATGTATCTTTTACAGAACATTTATTCTCTGCTCACTGTTGTCTGCCCTCTCTTGAGACAGAAAACAAAGACCCCTTTTCTTCAGTGCACCCTGGCTGGGTATGTTCCTCGAGAAATGTTTTACACCTTCCCTGGGCTGGAGGGACGGTGTTTAACACAGTCTGCTCTACACCTCAGCCTTGCCAGGTCCTGCAGTGGTCCCCAGGCACCACGGGTAGCAAACGCACATCACAGCTACCCTCTGATGCTGTAATTTAAGAGATGAGGTTGGACGTGGTCTTCACTCAGTGGTTATACGTACAGCTCGAAGTTGCTCTCTGGCCCCAGCCTGGCAGGGATATGCTTTATTTTGAACAGTTTTCTATTTTGAGATTGAGGAAGTCTTGAGTATATATTGAACAGATTAAATACAAAACTGGTCAACACTAGCCTACAAAACACCCGAGCCTTGATATCATTGCTATTGCAAATTGGTCTTCCCCATAAAAGGCTTCAGCTCTTGAAGATGTTATTCAAATACCCAAGCACATATTCAAGCTTCCAGCATCAGGTTGCTAACTTTAACCAAATATGTACCTCCTTTTAGCATGTTTTAGAAGCACTAAAACGAGTGAGATTTCTTACAGAAAAGAGATAGCATTATTGCACACACTTCTGAAACCAACAGGATAGAGTTTCCCAGTTCTGCTGACTTTCGTCTTTTCTCAAGCATATCACCGTGTCTCCAGAGATGACTTCAGTGTCATGTTTTCTGTTTCAGGTTTGGCTTCATCTTTAATAAATCGAAATCTGCAGTTCACAAAATTGACCTGGAAACTGTGACTCACATCAAGACTATCAACTTCAAAAACTATAGCTGTGTACCGCAGACCATGGCTTATACCCACCTGGGCGGTTACTTCTTTGTCCAGTGTAGGAGGAATAGGTTGGTGGCTGCGTCGCCGCAGCTCGTTATTGACAGTGTTACCGATGCCGTCGTCGGCCCCAACAGCGACGTGTCGGGCACACCTTATATCTCACCGGACGGACGCTATTTGGTCAGTGCAGATGAAGACAGTGGCAGGATCAGAGTCCAGGCTCTAACTGTCCGAGGGGAAATCAAGTTGATTTATGACTTACAAACAAACATACACGTATCTGATCTGACATTTCAACCCTCTTTCACTGAAGGCAATCAGTACTATATATATGCTACTTCACATTTGCAAACAGATGTGCTTTTTGTAGAGCTGTCAACGGGGAAAATGAATGTACTGAAGAATTTAAAGGACCCTATCACATCCAAAGACTGGCCCTGGAGCAACTACAACAGAATTATGAAAGACAGTGGATTATTTGGACAGTATCTCATTACACCAGCTAAAGATTCATTGTTTGTTATAAATGGGAGGCAAAATACGTTACGCTGTGAGGTTTCAGGTATAAGGAGGGGTAACACAGTGGTCTGGGTTGGAGAGGTATGAAAGGGCAATAGCAGTAGAGCCTTCGGCAGGCAAGTACCGGTTGGACCTTTACACTGCAACAAAGGAGCAGTAGCATTGTATATTTTTACACTGGGAAAAAAAAAAAAGAAAAAACAAAAAACCCCTGTATAGGCTTCATGGTACAACACTGGTCTACTTGCAAGTTTTATAATATAAGGTATGCTCTGCTAATAGGAAGTGGTTTTGAAGAGATATTTTTTATTTGGGGGTATGATTTCTGGTTATGAGGAAAATGCTGGGAAGTGAATAATATCTCCACTGAGATACCGTATAAGCCACGAAACCTAGTGATTCTGTAGAACAAAACAGATTTTGAGTTTCCATACTGAGGAGCTTTTATGTTATGTTCAAGCCATCACTTTTCTTTCCTGTATACCTTGCCCGTTAGCTGTGCTGACTACCCCACCCCAACACAGAGAGACTACAGAAGCAATGACTGCAGTTAAAATTCAACTTTGGATGATGAGGGAAACAAAGCAACAGAGAGCAGTTTTCAACCCACAGAAACCTAGGAGTGCGATTTAATGAAAACTGATCAGTTTTCTCTGCAGGATGGCTTTGGGAGGATTCACAGATGTGATTTCAGAAGGAGGCATAGCAGAAATAGTAACTGTCAGCTCGCTTTCTTCTGCACTTAATTTTGCTCTTGGTACTACTGAAGGCAATGTTATGAGGTTCCCCCCCTTCTTCTAATGCATATTTGTGTGATTGTATTTGAGAAATTTGGCATGAAATATCCAGGCCATTAGAGTGGGTAAAAGCCAGGAAACACTGAGCAGGGGGTCAGGGTTTGTAAAATATTTTGTTGAGAAGAGGGCATTAGTCTTTCAGCAGCTCATGAGTGCGGTCAGCTTGGGCACAATATGCAAAATCTGCTCTTCAGGGGCAGAGAATTAGTTACGGTTATTCCCATAGGAGGCAGCAACACTTCTAGAAATTGTTGGTTTCTCTCATTAAGTATTTAGTAGCACTGAAGTCACTTGGTTCTTCATAAAATAATAGCTACAATGACAGAGGGTATTTTTAATAGAAAACTCACTCATTTTCTAGTCATAGCCTTAATTTGCCTATTTCTTTCCAGACATCCCGGGAAACAATTTTTCTCTGTGATTTTTTTTCTTCCCATTTATAGTACACTTGTTTATAGTCAATTATCTTTTAGTTATGAGCAAAGAGATTCATGTAAAACCAGCTGAATTACCCTAGAATGCAACAGCTGGCATTGAGAAATTTCAGTTGAGTTCCCATAAAAATACAGATCCATTTGCACATTTGGAAGATATAAAAACTTTTCTAGTTGCGTTTTTGTAACTTTCTATATCCATCACCATGAAGTAATCAGGGCAAGAGCAGCTATGGCTTGCAAAGCGGTGCAAACCAGGTGGGCACCACTGCCACTGTGAACGGGCTTTGAAAATGTGGTCTTGAGGTGGGTGAAAACTCTCTCTGAAGGTAAGCATCTGTTGCATCGGAGCCACCCGTTGGCCTTTCAAAAGACCCAGCTCGTTTTGCGAATGACCTTGTTGCCCAGACTTTGTACGAAAGCAGCTGCTGAACGCATCCAGTGATATGTAGTGGCGGAGTAGTTATTTTCCAACACAGATGCTTAAAGTCGCCCATTTCACGATGCACGCGGAGGGATTTTAAATGAGAAGGACGCAGACTAACACTGGTAGTCTTTGCTTTAAATGTTAAACTTTACCAAAAGAGTAGCATTTTAGCGTGGCTGTAGACCTGAAGTAATTTAAACCATTTCGGTTCTATAGAGAATATATAAAAATCTGTTCAGACAGACAAAGAAGGGGAGCTGAATCCTATGAATTCATTAAACATGGAGTCCTTGAAATTGCCCTTCAACATCCATAGGCTGAACCCTACATCTCTTTTCACTTATGAGCCATAGGGGTTAGAAGCGACTATCCCATCATTGCAACACAGACATAGGAAACAGATTGGCATAGCCTTCCTTTAGCAATGCATGGTGTCCATGATTTTCTACTCATCTGGTTAGGAAACATACCCATGTCAAGGAAAGGAGAAGACCAGCTCTGTAAGTACCTTTAAATATGCACAACTCCTTTCTTGAACGAAGCTGTATCCATACATTGCAGTCATCCTAAATGTGTTTTACCAAGGCCAAACACTGCTCTCGTGTTATCTTTTATGACTTCTTGAATATTTTATTATGCCTATGGTAAGTTTCCCCGTAGAGACGTTCATTGTGTCATAGATCAAGCAAATATTACTTTTTTAACAATATTTAAAAAAACTGTATATATCTGTTCAGGTACATATTCTTGAGGCTGGTTTATATATAGGCTGTGAAAGATGTGTAACAGACCTCACTTCTTCCTGTTTGTCGCAAAATATTGGAATAGCGTTCACTTGAAAAATCCCACTTGGACCTTCCAAAGATGTTCCCTTTCTTCCCTCTTCAGCCCAAGTTCTGGTGATGTGTTTTCTAAATTATCCTAATGGTTATATATCATACTTAGCAAATGAAGTACAACTTAGATTGTCCACACTACTTGTGAACAGTTCCAATGACAGTCAAATCTGACATTAAAGTGCTGCACATTTGTTATTCTGATTTTATTTTTTTTATGACACTGAAATTTTGTATCTACTCAAAAAATGTTTCAGCTTATTTTTCCCTTGCAACTCGGTCAAAAAGAGACTACGTTTCCTTGTTTGCAGTTTTTTTCCCGCTCCCTTCATGTTCTCCACCAATTCACAATTAATTCCTAGCTAATAAATTAATTAATCACAGCGATTAATTGAAATGAATTTAAATTGAATTAGTGGCCATTTAGTTATTCTATAACACTTATATATGAGTTGGGTATTCTGACACTAGAATCACAGGAAAAATAGTCCCTGGTTGACAATAAGACTCTAGTCCCAATATCAGATGCATTTTCCATCCATCGTTGAGGTTAAACAGCAGTATTATGGAAATACTGTTTTGTCTTCGTATTTTCCTTCAGTATTTTCACTTTCTGAATGAGTGAGAGTTTTTACTTAACATCTTTAACTATGCAGTTCAGTGACTATTGAGAAACCATCCACTTTTCTTTCAAATTGGAGAGAAAACTCACAAGTGCCTTAATTTGGAATCTGTGACAATAATTAACATATCCTTATCATTTAATACTTTGATTTTTTATTTTATTTTCTTTTAACCACTACAAAAAAAGCAACAGACGTCCCAGAAGATGTCAGTGGGCAGGGGTGGGCATGCCCACAGGATGGGTGGGAGATGGGAAACTGGCCGGGCTGCTTGGTCACCCCTGCAAAAGGGGTTTAGCGAGGGGGGGGCTGTTGAAAAACTCCCACCTTGAAGGAGTTGGGCCGTTTGGCCGCGTTGACCTCCATGAACACGGCGTTGCCCGAGAGACACGCGAGTCCTGATGACCTGTTGACAAGTACTTATTTACTTGATTTATACCATGATTAGGTCTTAATTACTAGAGCACCCGGTAGTGTGCTAGGTACTGCGTAAACCAGATAAAAAGGCCAAGATCTCAATTCTGTAAGGAGATAACGGCTAATTCCCCATATGACCTTACAGCAGGTCAACAAAATGAACAGGAAAGCAGGAACTGAGGCTGAGGGAGACGTAAGCGTTGACAGGAGTGTGATAACCTGGTTATTTGTCAAAGATACGGGCATGCCGTAAGACGCCCTTTGTCCCTCCCCATTCAGGGCTTTATTTTAAGTTATATGTATCACTGTTGCTTCTCTTTATCGAATGCCTGGGGCTGGGACTGGGACTGGGACACTCGACCCCAGGGATTTCCTATCCTAGGACTTGCCACCTCATGCTGGGATAATTTCTCCCTTAGAACACCAGGGAGTAAATCGTGCTTGTTCTAATGAAGTACATCCCACGAGGTGAGCATCCAGCGCCTGGTTTCCATACTGGATTACAACTCCCACTCTACCTCCCATCTGAAACCTGCATTTACTGCCTGACCCACTGCTTTGCACATTTTCTCTTGGTCTAACCAAACAACAAAAAAAAACCCCAAAACCAAAAACCTACAATACAGTTAGGTTATGGCAAACAAAGCAGAGATCAATGTTATAATTTCCTCTTCTAGTACCGCTTCTTGCTCCGAAGAGCTCACCCCCCAACCCAGCAAACCTCCCCTCCGCCCTCCCTCGCGCGCATTTCCACCGCCAGCCATGTGCTTTCACAACAGATACCACCAGCTGCTGTGCCCCAAATGCTTTGAGCTCTTTTCTGGATTTCACCCCTCCTTCCCCCTTCGTGCATCTCTACCCTGGTGCTGCGGCACATGGTTCCTCCTGCTGCATCGCCGTGGTGTCCTCCCTCCAGCCGCTGCCTGCTTTACCCAATCCCCGCTGGAGCAAGAGGTTTTTATTTCTTTTTTTTTTCTCCCTTGTTACTTTTTGAAGCAGACTGAAATAAAACACAAGGAAATCTCTCCATCTGGAGACCAGGAAAACCTGTGTGTTTCTTTTATATAAGAGACGTGCGACGATATTTGATGTTGAGGACGGGACGAATTCCCAGCCAAGCACAGGAATGCAGTGCTGCTAGCTGCTAGAGGAAGAAGACGACACCCTTTTTTTAACCTGCCTCCAATGAGAGGGTGGGTTCTTTTTTAACACTGATCTCTAAAAATAAAGAATAAAATGGCAAGGCTATGAAGATTTTTTAAACAAGGCTGAAAACAGAGGAAAGAGGCAGGCAGGCAGGAATCTCACCTCTGCTCACATCTGGTAAAAATCAAGCTGCCCCCAAAATGCAGAGGCGCTGACTTGGGGCTCGTGCCCAAGCAGTGGGACTGAGCTGCAGCCTGGGCTGGGTCCGTGTGATAAAAGGGGCTGCAAATACAGAGCTGCAACTCTTCATTTATTTTTTATTACATGCAGAGCGAGCTGGCTGTTGCAGCCCAGCCCAATGCATTTGCCAAAACACCTTAGATGCTGAAATCCCATGGCTGCCCAGTAGGATGAGGGAGGATTTACAGCCCATACAGGAGGAGCAGGACGGTTTGAGCATGACCAGTGCAACTTGTCATGTTCTTGGCCCGTTCTGCTCTCT